ATTGAAGTCGAATTTCCCTTGCAAGCGTCGAGGTAGCGACAAAAGATTGAAATGCCTGCGTATTTTCGAGACAAGACTAATACAACTTACAGTTGTCTCGACTCTTAGCTTCTCTACTTGCCTAGTGGTGGGATGACGCGTGGTAAGTTAACGTAGAGGCCTCTCCGCGCAGTTAACGCGATTTTACAGTATTCGTATAAAATAATATATAGTAAATAATTAGAAAGTAAATATGACCATTTTACTAAATGAATAAATTACATTAAAAGAAGTGAAATATTTTAGAATTGTTCATTTCAGCTAGTTTGTACTGAGAACCTCTGAGGTTCTTCTCCTATCTATCCTGATGCAGGTTAGTATACCGATGGTTTACTTTGCCTTTTATTTTGTCCATCGATTTGTGTATGAATTTCAGTTTTAGCGACGATATGGATAGGTGTATGCAAAAGTAAGGATTATTTTTCCCTCGAGAATCTTAATTAGGTTGGTGACGGTGTTTTTAAATTATGGAATTTATCGAATATGTATTATGGAATTTATCGGCTAAAGATCTATAATAGAAGCACGATCCATTTGAATGGATGTATTGTTATTAATGAGTTACAAGTTTATTGATCCTAAATTTAACAATTTTAATATGGCTGAAAGAAAATACGCTAAAGCACGACATTTATTATGCAACAACCTAATAATACTGAACAATTGCTACACCATCTACTAGTAGAAATATTCCCCCTAATTTTGTACAACTGTTGGCAAATTTTTTCGCAAAAGTAGAATTATTCATCGATAGAATAACATTAATACATATTTGCATATACCTAACATATCATTAATTTAAATTCCATTATTATTATGTAATAGTAAAATTATTATCATATAATAATAAAATAATAACAAAAAATGTTAAATACGTGACTTTATCCACGACTTCAAAAATCATAAATTCATCGATTGATGGCGTAAAAGCATATACATATGTACTGAATCTTTTATGCAGAAGAAGAATTTGTGATTCCTTCACTGTTACGAAGAATGAATTATCCTACTCTGGATTCAGAGAAAAACCACGAACGCGAAACGTAGTAGGATTGAGGTGAAATTGATCTGGATGGTTCGTAATTCTGTTTATGTATAACCCATTTACTCCTATCTGATGTATTGCAAATCGCATAAGATAGGGGGCAAAATGCATTCATGTATGATGTACTGCAGATGGAATAGAATCGACAGGGAATGAGTAGTTTATTACAAAATGCATATAATTGGAACGGCATGAGGTAACTCACTTGCTATTTCTGAAGGAATTTGATTAAACTACAGATTTCATTTAGTCAATTATTAATTCTTTCGCGACCAATGTGACTTCAACACTCCAATTGTGTGGGACACCAAATCGTAGTTTTCCACGTAAAAGCGTAATGGTAGAATTCTTTGTGTGAGTATGTGTTTTTGTCTCGTTGTTGTTGTATGGTTTTACGTTTATTTCTGTATTTCTATAGCCTTTCAAATATTAAAAATTACCGTTTTCATTATATTTTAAAACATTTAGAAAAAAAACAGACAACATAATAAAGGTACTTCCTCCTACTGTGTTAATTTTGAACTTCTATTTAATCAAAAAATCATTCTTTAGAAAATTCTGGAATATTATTTATAAGCATTGGAATTTAATAAATTCTGCTCAAAAATTCCTTATGATTGGCAACTCGCAAACATCAATAGCATATGTAATTATAGTACAAGGCAACGCAGCACGCGTCCACTGGACCAATATGTACTCCTTTGTTCCCTATTAAAGTGCATGCCAAAATTAGTCGGCCAGACAAAGCCGTCGAGAGGTAAATGTAGTATGTATACCACATGCTGCGCTACTTTTCGTCTCTTTATGAGGAGTTTGTTGCGCGTTCATTCGGCAGGACAGGTCTAATAAAGTAAATGTTGGGTGACTATAAAAGTTCTGACCCCTTCGAACAAGAGATGTTCGCGAAATGATACTCGCCAATTTTTCTGTAACTTTGCTCACTTGTTTATAGGACCAACCTGAAAATTTTGTCATACTTGCGTGGTACTACTTTGAGACTTTAAGGGAGAATTGACTCTTTTTATCCGAAACGTCCCCTTTAATTGTTCGCTTATAACTCGTGAAGTACAGGAGATGTCGAAAAACAGTTCAGATAAATTTTATATCGTTTTTAGTTGTCCATACGTCGGTAGGAAATAATTTTCAATAAAATTACTTTCAAAAAGATTATATTTTTGAAAATTTCTTCCTACCAATATATGGACAAGTAAAGACGATATAAAATTTATCTAAACTGTTTTTTGATACCTTTTGTAGTTTACTGGTTATAAGCGAATAAACAAAGGGACTTCCCTTATAATATACACTAGGGAACAATGTACTGTTATTGATCAAATACAGCGCCGTGTTTTCTTCATTTTTTGAAATACAACAGCAAAATACATCAAAAATACTACTTCTGAATGTTCATCTACAAAATTATGCCGAAATTATAAAACAAATCGAATCTTTAAACTTTTTAGTTAAAATGTACGGTTAAATTGTAGCTATCAAATAACCAGGTGCTTTCAAGATTGGAACTATAGTTAGTTACAGTTTCGGAGCGCTTGAAGACCACTATCGCCAAAAACCACATGAACCTTGTGCCGAATCCAATATATAGGGTGTTCTATTTCAGTCGATCACCTCGAATATCTCCGAAATTATTTATGATACCGCAAAATGTTTCGAATAAAAGTTAAATTGTTTCAAGGGAGACATATTTTGATGTTAACAGTTTTTTCGTGGATGGAGGCGTGGAGGACATACGAGGATCAACTTAATTTTTTTAACGGAATGACGTATGTTTTACTACATAGATCGATGCAGCTCATCGTTCTCCGTAAAAAATTATTAATCTATTTACATCGAAAAAACATTAGTTTAGGAGATATATTAGTTTCAAAATTACGCGCGATGTCTATGGTCGTACAGTGGACTCTTACGATATTGCCACTAGGCATATTGCCACGCGAGGCACTTCCCCTCCACACGTACTTTTACGCACAGAAATCGCACCAGCGCGATCTAGCTTTTGCGCAGGCACTACGGCCGGGGCTATGAGGACAGAACTGTTGTTAGCATGGAGAGGGCTCTCGACTGATTGCCATTTTATTGTTCTTCCCTTTTATAAAGCAGTGGGAATCGTGTTGGCACCAATTTTATATCTTTTCTGTTTGCCTAGATGTAAAGTGTCAATTGTCAATTTGAAAGTCAGATAAATCTAACCCGGCCTTATAAAGGGTTAAGAAGGTAAATATCATATTACTACTACCACTTTGTCATTTTGAAATTAGAATATCTTCTAAACTAATGGTTTTTCGGCATAAGTAGTTTAATACTTTTTTATAAGGAGTAACGAATCCCATGGACTAATGTATTAAACAGTATGATAACTATTTACAATAGGGGAGCTACCACCGATTTCGATGATTTTTTAATATATTGTCAAGGTTATCACTCTGAGTAGTATTGTGAAGGTTTTAGTTGTAGGATGCCGTTTGTAAAAAAGTTATTATGAAAAAAGTTTAATATCGTACTTCAGTAATTTTGGTAAGTAAAATGACCGATGACCTTGACCTTGACATATGTTGTCCAGGTCACCCTTCGGACTGACCTTCAGAAAGTTTCAGTTATCAGAAGTTGTTTATTAAAAAGTTATTAAGAGAACAATGATTTTTTTTTAACTATCTCTAACCAACTCTAAAGGACTTTTTTTCTTGAACTGTTTCTAACCAACTCTGAAGCATTATACTGACCGGATTTGGTTAGAGACAGTTCAAGAAAAAAAGTAACTTTTTTACAAACATCGACACTCAACTAAAAACCATCACAACATTACTCGGGGCGATGTCTATGACAACATATTGAAAAATCGTCAAAATCGGGGGGTGTTCCCTTATTGTAAATATATTTTAAATGACGTCGTACGTAATTTTGAAATTAAAATATCTCCCAAACTAATAGTTTTTCAATACACATACGTTAATAATTGTTTACAGAAAATAATGATATACATCGATCAATGTTTTCAAAAATACATGATTCCATAAAAAAAAATAAAGCTGACCTTCATATGTTCTCCACGCCTTTACCTACAAGAGAACTATTGACATCAAATTATGCCTGCCTCGAAACCATTTAACTTTCGTTCGGAACGTTTTCCGGTATCATGAATAATTTCGGAGAAATTCGACGGGACCGACTGAAATGGAACACCCTGTACATGTGGTACTGACAGTCATAGCGGCTGCGATACATGATCCTCTAATTCTTTCGAGCAGCGTATTTCTCGGGTCGATATTCGGTACGAGACGATAGGTCCTACGATGTGTATTAAACTTCGTTGGAAGCGCTCGTTTCCTCCATTATTACGCAATTAAATTCCAGTCGCGTTTGATTAAATCAATATACTACCAACACGTTCAAAGCGTTTGTTGCTTTGTTTGTCGAACTGCGACGTATGGAATCGTTCGGAGTTTAACGTTCACCCACCCCCCTCCCCCCACCCCTAAATACCGACAAGGGAACGATATCAGGGTGTACACGTTCGCGGGGAGAAATAGCTTTCAAGGAATAGGTATACAGAGAACGGTCGATTATCCGAATGTCGATAAACGGAACTCCGATCAACCCAAATACCGATTATCGGGAGAGAGTAAACGAGACACGAATGTTTTATAAAAGAATGTTTTATAGAAGGATGCATCTAAATTTAGGTGGAAGACAGAAAAATGTACCGTTTGCTACTACTTAACTCTTTGAGGCACACGATTTTAAAGAAAATAAAAACCCTAGTTGCACAGAATTTTTTTTAATATAAAAAAAATGATATAAAAATACAACATTAAACTGTACGACTATGAGTAACTTCAACTTTTCGAGGTGGGTTAAAATATATCCCACCATGCATAAAAAGCTAAGCAAAAGGTGGGACAGTTTTTGACCCACCTAACTCTAAAGAGTTAAGGTGGTTCGTGCCAAATTCAAAAGATTAGATAATTCAATAAAATTCATACAGATTATTTATTAGAACGAAATACAGACACAAAAGAAATTTGAGACTCGTTCGCCGATCAAATAAATAAGAAAAAGCTTGTCAATTATTGAGTTTCAACACAGCTCTTATGGCAGTCTTACGATTTCTTACTGGAAGTATAATCTTTTCTATTTACAAAAATTAGAATTGCTAACTACAAACTAGGTACTGTATGTAGGTTATTGGATGGGTATTGGGACTATGTGAAGGACTTGGCAACGTTGCTGAAGTAGGGTCATACCCGCGAAATAGAAATACATACATTTAAAAAATATTTTACTTATTTTGTGTTTTAGTGAATTCTAATTTTCTAAATTATAATGCACGAGATATAAATAATAAACGAGATATATATAATTAACTTTACATGCAAGAATACTGAATATTAACTTGCGAAGAAGATGAAAATTTATAGAGCAGAAAGAAGAAAGTTTCACTGAAGAAAGAGACAGAAAGTATATCGAGGAATGAAGAAAGGGAGAGTAAGATTATGAACGAACGAAGAAACGGTGAAAAATGGTTACGTCAAAGAATGAAAGTCAAATCTGTGTAGTAAGGAGGATAGAACGTACATAAAAGTGTATGTATAAAAGTGACTCCACAGGTACGTAGACTGCTTCATGTATCTTCATTATTGCAAAAAGTTTTTATCACATTTAACAATTTGTTTTTCAAATATTGTTTTCCTTAAACCTTATGAGTGGTTAAAATCGTTCTGTGATAAAAATATTATGATTTTTGTATTACCATACACAGGATGGAAAAACGATTTTCTGTATAAAAAGAAATCGAAAATGTATCACATAATTGTTTCGTACCCAAAATTAACTTTGAAAATCCGTTAAATAATTTCTAATACATAAATTTCTATTTATTATAAGCACCGATGCATGAGTATCAGTTAAATTTTCTCGATTTTCTCAAAAATGAAGCTCTATACGATGTTTTGTTTTCAACCAGAAAGTATAATATCGATAAAAAATTTGTTGGACAACAAAAATTAATTTCTCTTATGGGGTTGAATATTTTTCTTCAAATATTTCGAATTTCTTGTTAAAGCCTTTACTTTGTAAATTTATTTATCGTTCAAATTTTGATTTTAATAAAACGAACTCGAAATTTAAATTTCAGTCTGGATTTCATCCACGCTCATTCCTTTGTAATTAGTTCAAAATTTACGTTAAAATCCTCTGTATATTAGTTTTAGACACAAAGTGTATTAGAAAAACACATATATCAAAAATGTAACATGAAAGTTCATGGACTCCAAGAATTCAAAGTTTCACTTATCTTCATTAGAATTTCGATGTATTCCATTTAATTTGCTTCAACGCTACTTTAAAAAGTATGCAGATAATTTATTGTTCAAACACTTCAATAAATCAGAATTTTTCTGAATTTATATAATTTTATTTTCAACGCCATAATTCTGAATATACGAGAAAGCTTCTGCGTCAACCGAATATATGCATCGTGTACGCGGGTGAAAGAAGAATCTATGCATGTAGAAAACGTCTGTATAAACAGGTATATAAGGAAGTCTTGTAGGGCAGGAACGGAAGCATGCGAAATTGTGCTGCCGTGCAACCATACATGATAATGATGTATGTATGTATACAGGGCGGAGACTTGACTCGTGGTGTATCTGAACAAGGGACGTTTCCATGAAAATATAAAAACCATAAATATTAGAATAAATTGTTTTCCCATAAAGCTTTGTTTACGTAAAAATTGGACGAATAATAAAAACACTATTTCTACTTGAAATACATAATGATAATGGTACGATAGTATTTGTTATGCGACAGTATTAAAATCTTCCACTATGTCAATTTACATCAAATTGTTATTCTGTGAAAGTAAAAAATAATTATGGACACAATCAATGGTAATAACCTAGCACGAGAAATTTTACTTCTTATCATTTCGAGTACACATGTCCTAAAAGTTCTTTTAGGCAAATGATCTCAAGTGATATAAAACTCGAAATATCTTCTAAACTATGGACCTCTCGAAAGAAGTTGTAGAAGCACTTTCTGAAGTTTAATATTTGTACTTTAAGGCAAAATAGGTGAGATTATAGAAAACAAATTAAAGTAATAAAACGGGGGTTTAGAGGCAGGATGTTTTCAAAAATCGAGGTTTTCATCCCCCCTATGCACTCGAAGTGTTGACGCAACATGTTTCAAAGTAAAAAATTAGTAAGCATAATATTTTATGAAAGAACGAGTGGAAATGATTGCAGAGACATTCGAAAAAAACCAGGGGAGAATTATTTAAAAGTACAATTAATATGAAAGTGCCGCGATTCATTTGGATGAATATTCCTGAATGGAACACATTAATTAAACAGATATTTAAAATTGTCCAAAACACTGAACATATAATTTACGTTACCTCTGCAATGCGCAGAATTAATAAGAATTCGTATATTTCATAATTTTGCTACCTGTTTAACTCTTAATTCTTTCCCATTACCACGTTTAGTAGCATAAGTGTCTGGTGACTTATGAATGGGAGTTTCGATCTGAAATTTTTTTGTGATAAACAAATTATATTTTGGACAATTTGTTAGCACCATATTAGTCTACATAAAAAACCGCAAGCCTCGTCCATTAGAAGTTTTCAGGTATCTCTTCTGGTTTTCGAGATAGTACTTTTGGGTCGAAATTTCGAGGGGTGGTTTCACCCCTTAAAGTCGTGTCTCAGCCCATAAAAAAATACGTATACCTTATTTTTGACTACTTAACAGACATACGAAGTTTTATCAAAATCGGAGGGGGACACTTCCGTGCCTTCCGTTGTTAGTAAATCATATTGTTGTTATAGAAATTTCGCCCACTGTAGGTCGGATACAGGCAGCTCTGATGTAATTAAATCATGTAAATTGTGTTGTTGTGACATGTGATGTGTACACCAGCGTTTATCGATTAATTAACGCTCAAGAAACCTTGAAAGATTGTCACCACAAGAGGTATACCTCTATTCCGCAGGCAATTAACCCTAGAGCAGCCTTGCATGCGTGTTCCAATACAATGCACGATCGATTCTGGCAGGTAAACGTTGTAATAACAACTATAGTTTGTGAATCCGAGATCCGAGGTATGAATTATTTTGTGTAAAGTTTTTGGGTCGAATGAATGTCAGTGGATCAAGAGCTTTCCGAAGTCCATTGGTTCGAGAGTACGCACTGACTTCAACAGGTCATTCTGAATATAAAATTTTATGTAAATATTGCAGCTATATTTTATTTTTTTTAGTCAATTATATCACAAACGACACTGGGCATAGTTACAGTAAAACGACAATCAAAATGTACAGGTCTGCTCGTAAATATCAGGACACCCGTTGTTTATGAAGAAAATGTAACATTTTATACAAATTATGTGCACAGGATAGGGCAAAAGTAAGTCAAAATAATTTCAATAAAAGGGGCTGATTTGTCGATATAATTTTTGAAAATTGACAAAAAATTTAAATACTAAGTAAACGTGTTAATTAAAAAGGCAAGAAACATCTTTCATTTATTTAGAAGTTATAAACAAACCAAATCTGCGAGTTAATTTTACCCCAACCTGTACGTATTTTGCACCGAATTTTCTGTCTCATATTATTAAACAGTATTTAATACATAAATATATATATTATTTACCCAAGGCCTTCCAAAATAATTTAACAATTTCTGTTAGAGTTCATTTTGTATTCGGTGGGAATCCTAATATTTTTGAAGGGGCTGTACATTTTTCCTTCATTCTCTGGATTTTAAATACAATTTAAAGCAATGATATGGAATTCCGATCCCCCTTCACTGGATTAAGATAAATTCCAATTATCGAAGTCAAATCATTTTTTAGGGATATTTGGGAACTAACAAGGGATGTTCGCGAAGTGATACACACCGATATTTCTGTAACTTTGCTCAATTAATAATGGGATCAACCTAAGAATTTTACTGTATTTGGTTGATGCTACTTGCAGACTTTAAGAGAGAAATCGTTTCCATCCGAAGCATCCCTTTCACTTATTCTCGTGTAATTCTTAAACTACACAAGATATCGAGAAAAAATTTAAACAAATTTTCTATCGTTTGTAATTATCTATATGTCGGTTGGATAAAATTTTCAAAATAATAAGTTTTGTGAAAAAATTTTTGTTGAAAATAATTTTATCAAAAATTTTTTCATATCGATATATGGACAACTGAAAACGATAGACAATTTGTCTAAACTTTTTGTGGATATCATTTGTAATTTACGAGTTACAAGTGAATAAGTAAAAAAGCTCGCTTCGGATAGAAAGGGTGATTTCTCCCTTTAAAGTCTAAAAGTAGCACAAACCAAGTACGGCAAAATTCTTAGGCTGATCCTAGAAAGAAGTGAGCAGAGTTACGGAAAAATCAGTGCGTACCACTTCGCAAACATCTTTGGTAAGCTTCAAATATAATGTGCGATTTTTGCAAATATTTAAAAAAGTTCTATAATTTAAAGACTTTTTAGACAGTATTGGATTTACGTCAGGACATAATGCTTCAAATATTATTGTAATATGGCGTTTTAAAAGAAAAACGAGATAATATAACTACGTACGGGGTCCACGATAATAACGAATATATGTAATTTGAATAATAATAAATTTCATTCTATGATATTTGGCGTGTTCGTTGAAATATTAGTTTCAGAATGATGTTAATTATTCTGAGAGGACGAATGTTGCATACGACTTTATGAAAGGATAAAGGAAGGTATCAAGTGTGATTTGAATGATGTATTTTGTGGTTTTTTAGTGTTGCAGTATTATCGTTATTGATATTTCTTTTTTACTGTACCTGCAAACTTAAAATTAATCGTGCCGTTAGAAATTATTATTAAAACGGTAGGATCTAATAGAAGCGATTCTGAACGGTTAGAATTTCGTGTAGTTTGCACAGATTGTTTAAAATGCTATTCATTACGATTAATTTCAATTTCTACAATCTTTAATTTTCGTGGCTGCAATTGCAATTGTAGCAGGAACAACAGCAATCCTGGATTATTTTCCACTAAATGAATATATTTAACTAAATCTGAGGAAATATAAAGATTCTAATTATACATTCGGAGTATCGAAAGGAATGATTTCGATAGAAACACGTTGTTCAACGCGCGAAAAATACAAATTCCTTCCTAAAACATTCCTCGTTTTTAACATAATCACATTATGTAGGTTACTTAAAAAAAACAGCGTACTTCGGGTAAATAGTGACACAGACTTTTTGCTACGTGACTTGTGAAAACGATTCCCGTGGAAATATGTTTTATAGTATATTTAAAAGTTATCCACCTATAAACCTGATGCAATAAATAAAAAGTGTTTCATGGTGTCAGTATCATATGCACGTTTACTTGATTGCGTTACAAATATCCTATGGAGAAGTCATATCAGATTAGTTCACATTAAATAAATATACTCATCGCATATTCCCGCAATTGTTTCATAATCAAATAAATGATCGATAATATCTCTAGCATCTGTATTATAGAGAACGAGATATTTATCGACGCTGTGGTGATTCGTCAGCCAGTAAAAACGACAATATAAAAGAAATACACTCATAATATTAAAATTAGGTTATCGACTTCGTTATCAGTTCAACGATTATAAAAAGAATTTTAGACTACACGTTTGGTAGTAACTGAAATGTTGAGCTTGCTACTAAATGCTACAAGCGAAAGTATGATCTTGTAAATTTTACACTTCTACGTAAGTATGTATACAGCACCAGAGTCGGGTAAAATGTAATCTAATTACAAAATCTAAATTACAATTACAATGTAATTGTAAAATCGCAATGTAATTGTAATGGTCTTGTAATTACATTGCAATTACATTATAATTGTAATTTAGATTTTGTAATTAGATTACATTTTGCCTAACTCTGCATAGCACGCTTTTTTAAGTAAGTTGCAATTAAAACAGAAAATATTAGTCAATGTTAGCAAATGTAAGCTCAGCCCTTCGAAGTAAATTTCACTTTCTATCTAAATATACTGGTGAATAGACTGCTGATTTTATGAATTTATAGCTTGTAAGGCACCCTGAAATACGATAATAGACAAACTCGGTTTTTTTCATCAGATGCAACGAGTTTTTTTATTGCATTTTTAATCCAATAAGAGAAGAAAGAAAATGCTACGTTGATTTTTGTTTTTATGAATTACTTTGTAAAAAGTCATTCTGCATAAAAATCCACAGTCTACTGATAAATTTCGGAAAAATTTTCTTGTGATAGATTAATGTTGCGAGAAGTGCAGTGTGAGTATGCATTACCTGAGGGCATGGTTCTTGAATCGAGTCTTGCTTGGTCCCAGTCCTAGGGACTTTTACCGGTGCCTTGTAGTCAGGTTGGTATGGCAGCAACATGCGAATTTTGCCCCAACGGTTAAAGAACAGCGCTATTGCGCCCGCCCAGAAGATCAACACCAACACCACTATACCTACTTCAACGCCACGGACCTGCAAGTCAAACAATAATTCGTAATTTATACATGGTTCCCATGCAACAATATTGGTCATACTGCGCTCTTCTCAAGACTAATATTACATTTACCAAACTCACTTGAAGGTGATTTGTAGATTACATTGGAAATCTAGTTTTTAGGTTAGCTTGAAAACCTATGTTTTTAGATTATGTTGGTAATCTAGTTTTGGTGTATTTGGGAAACCTAGCTTTTAGGTCATGGCGAAAACTTGGTGTTCAGGTTAAGTTGAAAACTTAGTTTTTAGATTATGTTGAAAACCTATGTTTTTTGGGTACGTTGGAAACTTAGTTTTTAGACTACATTTAAAGCCTAGTTTTAAGGTTATGTTGATACCCAAGTTTGTAGTTTATTTTGAAAATATAGTTTTTAGGTTATGTTGAAAACCTAGTTTTTAGGTTATGCTGTAAACCTGTGCTTTAAGATCATGTTGAAATCCTAGTTTCTAAGTAATACTGAAAACCGATGTTTTTAGGTTAAGTTCTGTATGAAAACTAAATTGTTTCGATGTAGTCAGGGAAGAAAGTACTTGTACATTAGTTCATCTTTTATGAAATTACTTGAATGAAGAGTCAGGGGAAATAGGGAATGCTAATTTTTACTAATTCTATAGTCTATAGTGCATTCTGTTAGTGTTAACTGAGCCTACAGAACTGTTGAATCATAAAGGATTACCAAGTCTACATAAGATAACTCTTAAAGATTTGGTGTACTGGTTAAAAACAATGGTAGCCAAAAGTATTAAAAACTAATTTTCTCAATAAAATTGTTTTGTGACATTTCTTGTTTTTTCTCTTTACCCATCAAATATGGGTATTTTTCAGGTTGAAGATTGCTGATTAAATATGCGACTACTTATAAAAAAAAGTATTCACACTTAATACGTACAAAAAGTTGAGTACAAGAATATTCGTAATTTCACCAGATGATGAAGGTGGAATTAGATAGTTTCAACCTGTTTGTTTAATCGAATTGAACGAACTTAATGATTTTTACATATTTTTAGTCTAGTTGACAAAATCAGTCGAAGATGATCTTTACGATTTGTATGAAAATCAAGAAATGAACTATTAAAATGTGCACCTTAGTTTGAAACAACATTAATTTTCATAATGTTATTTTTCATATTTCAAGAAAACTACTACAAACTGTAATCTATTCACAGATACTTTTATTCAATTTTCAAATGCAGGAATAGTTTCTATTTTTTTCGGACGTAACAAAACTTCCAGTTACAGAAAAACTTTTATTTTGGTTTGAAAAAGTTAAAATTGCACTCGACCACGAAGTGAATTTTCTGTTAACGGAGTATGTACCCATCTGAGTTTAAAACGTTCAAAAATTCTTGATACTTTCCGCATGTATTGCAGTTTTTACTTGTATTTATTCATCCAGAAAATTCCACGTACACTTCAGAAAATAAAATTACAGTTCACAATTTTCATTTTCTACCTTATTTTATGAGCAAATGTAGTTTCCACTTCTTCCTACAAAGTCCTATTTTTAGGTAACTCTCGGTTTTATTATAGCGATTACATCAAATTTTTATGCCTGTGTTTTAAATAACTCTTTAACGTGTTTTTTACAGACGTCTACGTTTTGGAAGATTTCTCCCAACATGAAATGCTCAATACCTATGTAGTCACACACTATTGATCGTTAAGAAATATAGGGAAAGTGAGTTCTGATTTACACGATAATATGAGGGTCGTTGGAATGGATTTCAACACCACCGTCGAAATTTCGATAAATATGACCCTGAGAAAAATGTTTGCTTGTACAGTATTTGCTTCTTGTAACCAAATAATACCTTTCCTTCGTAGTTTTTTGTATCTTCAAAAACAAGTGAGGTATTGAAGGTGCTCACCTTAGGTGGATAAATCTGCAGAACCCTAATAAAACGTCTATTTCATGTTATTACTGCCTTTTACTTATTACTGAACTCATAAAAGAATACGGGAAAATAATAAAAATACTTATTCTAGGAACACCAATATCTCATTTCGTCGACTACAATACTGTATGAGTTAATTAATATCGCCCATAGTACAAACGACGTAAGGTTTCCCGGGGCTACCTGAGGAGAGCGGTCGACCCAAATGGCGCATCTACCTGAATCGCAGAAGGCCGCGACCTTCGTCGACCTGCTCCGACCACAATTTTATAGTGTCCACGAATTAAATAAATGAACTTTAGAGAGAAAAGACCACAGAATAGGGACACATTTTTTTCAAATTTCTTCAAACTTGAACAGGGAATCAAATTCGCAAAACGCAAGTTGTGTTAATATTTATGCATTGCAAAAATAAATTTACGTATAAAACAAAAAGTTAAGTAATAAGAACGATTCTTTACGATTAAAATGAAAGAAAAATCAAGTTCATATCTTTAATAGTTGCGGAGATAAAAATTCTTTTGTAAAGGTAGTTCTTGTAAAAATCGGTGAAAATTCCCAAACTTGAGGGTCTGTATCTTTTCAATAATTTCAGAACGAGCAAAATGATGACTTAAACCCCCTCTATTTTCATATGGTGTTACGTACGAAGACACTCTCGCGACCTCTTAACCCTATCGGGAGTTGGAATCCATTCCGTTGAGCAACAGGCGTGTGCCCCACTACTTTTAGACTCGATTTTCGGGGTATAAAAAGGGACACGTGCAGCTCATCCACGGGTCATACTCATACCAGAAGTCTAGTTAGTGGGATCGGGTATTAAAGTTTCTTTCAAGCATTTTAAAAGTAAGCTAAACCCTGTACAACAAACCCCCGCATTTCTCAGTGCGTGAAAACCAAGAACGTTGGAATTAGCTTCCGCGACCACAACTTACATTAACATTTGTAAAACCTTTACTTTCTTGAATATACTTTTATACATTTATATATTTATAATTCAGCGTTGTTCATTTCAACTCTAGAATAATATCTAAATCCCCAGCTAGAAACGAACCCACAAAGGCACACTTTTACCGCTCGAAGTGTATCGAATTCTTAAAGTTACGAGGCCTATACTAACAATCCTAGGCTCCCTAAGATGAAATAGGCTCAGGTTCAAAGCCACCCATTTTCTCCAAAACGTCCCTTTCATTTATTACTCCTAAACTACAAAAGGTATCGAAAAAAGGTTTAGATAAATTCTATATCGTTTTTAGTTGTCAATGTAGAAGGTAGGAACAAATTTTGAAAACAATCAATTTTTTGAAAACTATTTTTTGAAAATTTTTTTGAAAATTTGTTCTTACCTTATATATATATGGATAACTAAAAACGATATAAAATGTACCTAAACTTTTTTCCAATATCTTTTATAGTTTACGAGTTATAAGCGAATAACTAAAAGATTTGGATCGAAATGGTGGTTTCTTTGTTAAAGTCTAAAAGTAGTACCAACCGAGTACGGTAAAATTCTTAGTTGGTACAAACATCATTTGTTAGTATAAACTACTGCTGGCTGAATCAGTTCTGTAATTAGGTTTTCTAAATAATCACAACCACTTTCTATTGCAATATATAAATTTTAAATTAATGTCCACGTACAGAAAATTCCTTACAAATCGTGGTTCAAAAATATATTCAAAGATGAACTGCCAGATAAATATGCATACAGAATTATTTCAAAGTATGAGACTTTAAATTTTGAAAAAGGATTAGAAGACAATTAGATGAGTTGCATATTCCATTAGGCAACATTTTTTTTTTTCTTACCAAATGTAACAATCATTTCGTCAACTAATTGATAGTATTTCCCGTAGAATTCTTAGTTTTTTCCACAAGAAAAATTCCCGTAAGAAGTGGAAAGTTCAACGGATAGAGGACACAATTTTGTCGAAGATTGTTAGCTGCCACTGTGACAACCTACTTTCTCAAGCTGAAAGGAACCATTGTCGAGGATGCTGTTTTTGCGGTTCGTTTCACAGCCCTATAGCAACATCACGTACCGAGAGTGTGCAAACTTCCATACAATAGCGAACCTTATAGCCACGTCACAAAAGGACGACCGAGAGCCAAGAAAAAAGAAACTGTTAACATCTTCATTGGCTGAACATTTTCTACGGAAAGATGTACTTTAGGACTGGAATATTGTTTCGTGCCCCAATATTCACGGCATGGAGATCCAGGAAAAATTTTTGCGACTATAAAAAAACATATTTTTAAATTAAATAATTTTGATCATAGAAGTAATATTATCTTTTCACAATATTCACCTAGAATGCATTGAATCCTTTATATAAAATTCAACTGTTTTAATATGTAAAATAAGCAATGAAACCATATTTTAAACTAAAAGCAATATCATAAATTAAAATTCTGTTTTACAATATTTAACAGCATGAGATTTCAGTGATACATTTTTGGAAGGAAATTCAATAGTAAAAAAAGTGATCTTCAAGACAGATAAATTTAAGGATCGACAACTGAGAAACATACGGGCTAATGAATAATTATATAAGTACTACTTTCTGCAAACTGGAATCTGTTTTGATTATTTTTTAATTATTTCAGAAAAAAATTTCATTAGGAAAAATTAAATGGTTTCGAGTGATGCATATGTGTCCCCGAAAAATAGAGGCGTTTCAAAGATTTCAAGGTCACTTCTATTTTTTAAAATAGAACTACACATTTTTTAAACACCATTCATTGCATTTCTTAATTCTCTACAACAAAGCATTGCGGTATTTGGGTCGAAAAATAATTAGTTTAAACGATAGTTTAAGTTCAGTTTCTCAATATTGTATAGCATATAGTTATACTATGTTTTCGCTTGTATTTATTAATTTTATTCTTTTAAACTAATCATTCTGCGACCTAAGTACCTTAATACCTTTTTGTAAAGAATTAAAAAATGCATCGAATGATGTATAAAGAAATGTAGAGTTTCATTTAAAAAAATAGATGTGACCTTGAAATTTTTGATATGTCTCCAATTTCGGAAAAGACATGGGCCACAAGAAACATAACTCCAAACCATTTAATTTTTC